ATTTGGTTATTAACAAATCATATTCATATTCCAGACTACAATGAAATTTTATGCAGTAATATGCAGTACAAAGTAAAAGTAAATCCAGTTTTAAATTATTTTTATAAATATCTAGTKTTCAAATTAATTTTACTTTATCCACATAAGAACAATAATTTATTGTTTATTGGCAAGTTTAATTTCCAGATTTATAGCACAGTAAATATAACTAAAAAAGAGCTGTCTTATTTTAATTTTATCTTCTAAAGAAAATGAATATGTTGTTTTATATTTGTCAATAAATTAATGTAAAAATTAAAAAACCATAAATACATTTTGGTTTATTAAAGGTTTTTGAAAATATAATAATTGTTATAACGGCTCATAGGAATCCACGTTGATGAACATTATTTCCATAGYACTTGACAACTAAACAGCACTTTTTGGACAGTTTGAACGATTCAATGTTAAAATGTATATAAACTAAATGTTATATCAGTCATGCAGAACGTGCAACTTTAAAATCATGAACGTTATGATATGGGCTGTCTATCAATGTGTAAATAATTTTTGAAATATTGAAAATTTGTGTTCATCAAAGTTAACAATTAAGAGTATACATGAGAATATAAAATATTATATTTTTAGTAATCATTTCATATGAAACTTATAGACACATTTATCTATGGTTTAATATCATTTTTGGTTTCTCAGGTTGTCCAATTAGTCATACCAGAAATCAAATCAATTAGTTTCTAATTTCATTGTTGATATTTTATAGGTAATAGACTTGGATCAAAAATTAGTGTGCATTAAAAAAGCTGATTGGACACATTATATGTATTATGTTATTGCTGCTGAATTGTCAGTACTTCTGCTGTTGATTGGAAAAGTTTCATATGATTATTGGGTATTTAAAACAGCTGGATATTTGCCATGGCCTGCATCCAAAATGCCAAAGCTCCCTTGTGACTGGATATTTGAGTAATGAAGWATGGCTTATAAAAAATATTGTAATACACGTTAGTAATTTATAAGAAGACTGTTTTATTATGAGCTATTAATAACATATTCAAACGCTACATGTGCTAACAATAAGTTACCCTAGTGCCTTAAAAATTGTGCCTTGATATATTATTTGTTATATAAGATTATTATATTTACATATTTTAATTACTGTTTGGGACGTTTTTTGAACATAAATTATCTTTAGTTTTTATTATTATTAACTAAGCTTTAATATGTTTGATMAAATCAAAATGTTCAAACACACTTACCAAAATTTTGAATATTATAAATTACAAGTTCAGATCTAATTTTATATTTATGTACACAGTGGGGTTCACACCAAAGACTATTTTTTTATAATAAATTAGCTGGTTGATAAAATCTTCTGTTATTTGTAACTTAAAAATCTCTTTAGTGGGCTACCGTGTACGTGTGTTATTTATTTTATGTTAAATGTTTA